AAAGGAATAACTTTATTAGTTATATATAGTAGAAGGAGAAGAATTTAAGTATAAAGGAGGTACTATTTATAATAAGACTATACCTCTTAAGATAAGCTACCTAAATTAGAAAGAAAGAATTTAATTTAATATTACTAATTTAGGAATATATAATATAGTGCTAAGACTACTTTAGCTATAAATAAGTAACTTATAGATAGATTAGAGTAAAGGCTAACTCTATTAGGATTATAATAATTTAGTCTCTAAGTAGCCTTATTAAAAATAAGCTTTAAATAAGCTAATATAGTAAGGAACTATAAGATAATATATTTACTACTTTAAGGTAAAGTAAGCTATTTTATAACTATTAATAATAATAGATCTTAAATAAAAAAATAATTTACTTCTATCTATTCTAGAAGAGTATAGAGTTTATAAGAAACTCTTTATAGCTAAATTAGAAACTAAACTGCCTAAATATATTAGTTTTAATTATAAAATCCCCCTTAAGAAAGGGAAAAAACTATAATTTAATAAGATCTATAGACTTAACTTAATAGAGATAGAAGCTTTAAATAAATATCTTAAAGAAAACCTTAGGAAAGGTTATATTAGACTTTTAATATTATTAATAGGAAGCTTTATCCTATTTATACTAAAAAAGAATAGAAAATTATAACTATATATTAACTACTATATGCTTAATAAAATAATAATTAAGAATTACTACTTATTACTTTTTATTAATAAGATAAGATAACTTCTATATAAAGCTAATTAGTTTATAACTTTTAACTTTAAAAGAGCTTATAACTTAATCTAAATAAAATAAAGTAAAGAATAGAAGACTGCCTTCTAGATATAAAAAAGATATTTTAAATACCTTATTATACCTTTTAGTTTTATTAATATACTTATAATATTCTAGAATATAATTAATATAGTATTATGTAAATATATTAATATCTATATAGTTATTTACTTAGATGATATCTTTATCTTCTTATTTATACTTAAGAAGTATAAAAAAGATATTTATTATATCTTATAAGCCTTTTAGGAAGCTAAACTTTTAGTTAAACCTAAGAAAAGTAAATTTTATATATAAAAAGTAGAATACTTTAGATTTATTATTACCCTTAGGAAGGTTTATATATTAGGAAATAAAATTAAAGCTATTAAAGAATAGCTAGAATTTAGTAACTTTAAGGAAGTTTAAAGATTCTTAGGTTTTATTAATTTCTACTATAAATTTATTAAAAACTATAGTAAGATTAATATAGTTTTTATTAGCTTTAGCTATAAAGATATACCTTTTATATAGGAAGAACTATAATAGATAGTGTTTTAGAAAATTAAGGACTTTATTATTAGTAAACCTATCTTAATTATCTTAGACTTAATAAAATAGTTTGAAGTAGAACTTAATACGTTTAACTATATAATTAGAGCATAACTATTATAATAAGATTTAAAAGGATGCTTATATTTATATACTTTTTTCTCTTGTAAGCTCTATAGATTAAAACTTAACTACTAGATATATAATAAAGAGCTTATAGTAATTATTAAAGCTTTTAAAAAATAAAGACTTAAACTTTTAGGAATAATTTATAAAGTATTTATATACTTAGACTATAAGAATCTCTTATACTTTATAATCTTAAAAGTGCTTAATAAATAATAAATCTAATAGTTAGAATTCTTCTTAAAATTTAACTTCTAAATAATCTATTAAAAGGGATTAGATAATAGTAGAGTAGATGCTCTTAGCTAATAACTAAATTATAATATCTTAGTACTTAAAGAAACCTAGGTAATTCTTAAATAATAGGATAATAGAGACCTAATACTAGTAGCTAAACTCCTAATAATAGCTAGATAATTTAGTATTAGCCTAACTAATAAACTAGATAATAAAGTAATTATGGAATTTTATATATACTTTATATATAGTTACTAAGGAATTATAAAAACCTAGAAATAATTATAATAATAATATAGAGAAAAGGTTATAAGAGAATATATAGTAAAAGTAATTAAGGATTATGAGGTATATTTAAAAAGTAAACCTATTTAATATTAACTTTATAATATATTATAACCTTTACTTATACTATAAACTGCTTAGTAATCTATATTCCTTAACTTTATTATTAAATTACTAAAGTCTTAAGAACCCCTTATAGGAGTATACTTTAATAGTATTCTTATTATTATAGACTAACTTATAAAGTATACTTACTTTATTTTATATAAAGAAGTAAGTAACGCTAAAGAATATATATATACCTTCCTTAAGTATATCCTCACTAACTATAGTATACTTAAAGAAATTATATTAGATAGAGATAAGATCTTTACCTCTAAATTTTAAAAGTTAATTATAGTATAACTTAATATTAAGTAATCTATATCTACTATATTCTACCTATAGACTAATAGATAAATAGAATAAATTAACTAAATCCTTAAAACTTACCTTTATACCTATATTAACTATAATTAAAATAACTAGGTTATATTTTTACTAATTACTTAGTTTACCTATAATAGTGTAATTAGAGAAAGCACTAAGGAATCCCCTTTTTATTTTAACTATAGCTTTAAACTAACTACTTATAGAGAACTCTAAGTAGGCTTAGCTATAGTTAAAGCTACTACCTTAGTATAATAAATTAAAGATATCTAAGATAATATATATAAAGAACTTAAATTTATCTAATAGTAAATATTAAAATTTAGTAATAAATAAAAAATTAAGAGATTAACTTTAAAAGAGGGAGATAGCACCTATTTTATATAGTAAAATATTAAAATAAAATAACTAAGTAATAAACTTAACTATAAAAAACTTAAACTTTTTAAAATCTTATAAGTTATCTTATTAGTTAACTATAAGCTTAAACTTTTAGAAACTATAAAGTATTACCTAGTGTTTTATATTTCCCTTCTTAAGTAAGTACTATAAAGATTATAAACGAATAACCTTATTATTATAGAAAATAATAAACTAGAATATAAAGTAGAAAAGCTACTTAACTACTAATATAGAGATAATAAATAGGAATACCTTATTAAATAGAAAAACTATAGATATAAAGATAATATATAGGAACCTAATAATAACTTACTTAACTATTGAGATAAGATTAATAAGTATATTAGAACGCTTAATTATATTAATCTTAGGGATAGATTAAGCTTACTTATAACTTAGGAAGAATTTAAGGAATATATAAAATAAGCTAATAAAAGAGAAAAATAAATATAGAAAAGACTATAATAGAAATAAAGAGAAGCTAAGAAATAAAGGATATAACTTCTATTTCTATAATTATAATTAGAACGCTTTTAGCTAATATAACTAGGAAAACTATTTATTTAACTAGGAATATTAGAAGATAACTAAGACTCCTTAGATAAAAAGTTTAGAGTATTAAGATTCTAATTAAGGATTAAATTTAAATCTATAGTACTAAAACTACCTATAGACTGAACCTCTAATATAGAAGATTTTATAGAGGGAACTTTAGATGCCTTACCTCTATTTATAACTACTAATATCTCTTTATAACCCTTCTTAAAAATTATTCTCTTTACTTTATAAATATAATCTAATTTTATAAGTACCTTATTTACTTTAGCTTATACTTTTTATAGCGCCTCTATTCTCTTTTAAAATAACTCCTTAGTTTCCTCCTCTTTATTATCTAGACGATAAGATTTTACTATTAACTGCTCTACTATAACTAATTAGCTAAGAAAGAAAAAACCTAAAATAGATACTACCTCACACTAGCAGATTGTATTATTAGAAGTATTGTAGGAATAATAGGTGCTACTAATAGTAATATACTCTTTGTAAACTAGTGACCTTAGTAGTATTTTATAATAAAGCCCCTTTAAATAATAGTGATAATAAGGTATAATTTTAAAACTATTCTCTATAATATTAAGAGAATAATAATAGTAATAAAGCGTAGAAATTATAGGATTTTTAATAATATAACCTAATATAATATTAGTATTATAAGTAAAAATAGGAAGTATAATTAATAGATCTCTAACTTAAGACTAATAACCTACTTATATTAGGTCTTAAGGATAAAACCTTTAGAGAGGAGACTTAATATTATAACTTATAAATAAGGATAATAGTTAGTTAACCTACCTTAGGTGTTAGGTAGCTAAGATAGGATATTTATACTGTAGAACTATAGGAATAGTAGAGACTTACTTAGAAACAGGAGAACTATAATATAAATTATATAATAATAAGATAAAACTAAGTAAGTAGTATAGATCACTAAATACTTAGTAAGGACTATTAAGCGCTTACTAGTAATTACTAAGCGCTTATTAGTACTAAGTTAGGAATTAGTAGTTAGATAAAGGGACTATTTAAGACTTATATATAGTATAACCTTAAGCTTAGTTTATAGTTAGATTTCTATAGCTCTTTAGTAATTAACTTAGTATTTATCCTCATAAATACTCTTAGCTTACCTTCACTATAAATTACTTATTAAGTCTAAGACTAATCACCTTAGCCTCTAAAGACCTAATCTACTATCAGCCTACAACCTGCAACCTAAGTCTACGACCCTAGTGTACTGTTATAATGTGTTAATCCCCAGCTTCTGTTAGTAGACCCTACTGTTAGATAGCTGACCGTAACATCTAGTAGCTAAGAGCTATATAACGTAGTAGTATATATATACCCTTAGGTATATATAGTTACTATAGCTATATAATTCTATAGTTTTAAAGCCTATAATTTTAAAAAAAAAAGGAAAAGATTTCTTATCTACTTTATAGATCTAAAATAAAAAGAATAAGATTAAAAGCTTAAAAATCTACTAAAAAATAAGTGAATTCTACTTCTAATTTATTAGGATTAATAATAATATCTGAGCTAATTTCTCGCCTCTTAAAGGGGGCTAGTAATCTGACCTCTAAACGCTAAAAACGCCGAAAAATCCAGTGGGCCCACTAAACCCCGTTCCAGTATGTGTTTAGTTGGAAGGGCAGTAACCGATGGTGCAGGCGTCGGCCTTGCAACATCCACGGAAGCCATTGCTGCAAGATTGGAAGAAGCCAGTCCCAGGGGCACACACAGTCGGGTCGGTGTTCTTAGGCTCCGCGTGCCACTCGTGTTTAGCCTCAGGGGTAGGACTGGGCGAAGTCTTGGGGGCAATCGTGACGGTCTCGAAGCTCTTGATATCCGGGCAGTAGCCAATGGTGCACGCATCCTGCTTGCAGCATCCGCGGAAGCCGTTACTGCAAGACTGGAAAAACCCACTGCCAGGGGCACAGACGGTCTCATCGCGCTTGACGGCAGGCTCGCGGACCTTCAGATCAGGGCAGTAGCCAATGGTGCAAGCATCAGACTTGCAGCATCCATGGAATCCATTCGAGCAAGACTGGAAGAAACCAGTGCCGGGGGCGCAGACAGTCGGATCGTAACGCTTGATAACGGGAGCAGGTACATCTGGGCAGTAACCAAGGGTGCAGGCGTCGCCCTTGCAGCAGCCGCGGAAGCCGTTGGCGCAAGATTGAAAGAAGCCAGTGTTGGGAGGGCAGACAGTCTCATCGCGCTTCTCAGAGGCAGGAGGGCAGTAGCCCAAAGTGCAGGCGTCCTCCTTACAACAGCCTCGGAAGCCGTTTGAGCAAGACTGGAAGAAGCCAGTGCCGGGCTTGCAAACAGTCGAATCGGAGACGGTCTCGGGCTGCCAGTGAGACTTATGTTCGGGAACGGGGGTCGCCGTCACAATGGCAGTCTTGGATGAGGTGACGGTCACATCGGGGCAGTGCCCAATCGTGCAGGCGTCGGCTTTGCAGCAGCCCCTGAAGCCATTGCTGCAGGATTGGAAGAAACCGGTGCCAGGAGCGCAGACCGTAGGAACAGTGTTTGACTCGGTAGGAGATGCAGTAGTGATACCGACGATGCCGGCGAAGACGGTAAAGAAGATGGAAGAATGCATGGTGAGGATGATAGGATGGATAGTAGATCAAGCAGGGTTCGACTAGTTAAGTTTGTGAAGAGAATGATCAGATGTCTGTACGAGTTTCTTAAAGAGATAGATCCACAAAGGAAATAAGGAAATCACAAAGGAGAAGAGAAAAGGGAAAATTGGTGCGGTTGTTGAGTTGTCTTGAGTAGCTGGGTTGATGATGAGAAGAGAAGATAGAATCATGATGGAGAAGACGCGATCAATTTATAAACCTCGTTCTAGAATGAGGACATAGGACTCCATTCTCGGGAACTATTCTCCGTGTATTCCTAGACCCAACTACATGGAGGTAGGTCACACTACGGACCGCAAGCCGTGTTGAGGCGACAGCACACTTGTCTGTCGAGGGCTATGGCTGCGAGACCTGCTATCCTGGGGCTGTGATCTAGTATAAGCCAACATACTTTGAGGACCTGTGTTTGACTGCGGAAACTACATTTCCCCGCTGGGACTCATAATGCCGGCACACTCCGTGGAAGCTGACGAACAACCGTACAATGGTGTATCAGCAGTAGGCTAATAATGGGGTTGCTGCATGACCTGCATACTCTGTTGTCTCTCTCAGTCGTTCCCTCCGGACTAGACGAGAAGGATCCAATCAGCAGTTTGGGAATTCGCCCAAAGCTGTGTGCAAGGCTTACCAGCTCTGATCAAACAAGCGCGATAAGCGTAAGGTAGCTGGGCTGAGATGCAGGCTCTGGCTGAGTTCCTGGGGCTGAGACGCGGGAAGGACTGTCATACAGTCTTGGTAACCAGACTGCATTAGGCCTACAGGAAGAACTAGAGCGAGTCGAAGGCGGCAGCGCAGTCTCGCTGTCAGACGCCACAGACTGAAGGAGTACCCGGGCTCCGATTCCGAGCCTCGTGGCTGGTCGCCTGCCGGAAGCTGCAGTGGAAGGATGGTAAGCTTATTCTTGGCAACAAAAATTTTGAGGGGAGTTGCAGGTTATCGAGATCTTAGTGGCAGGCCACCTAAAGGCTATGTGTGGTCAGATGTCGAGGAAGCGTGGTGGAGGCTTATTCGATATCCGTGATTCCTGCAAAAGCCAGTTGGGGCTATCGTGTTGTTTATGATCCCTTAACTATATCGCGAAGCCTGTTTATTCTCGAAATAGCCTTCATTGATTCCCAGATGAGACTGCTATCGCAGGATGCAAGCTGAATGCAGCCGACGAGCAATATAACATCGAGCCGTGACGCCCTCATTTGTCCCGTCTCTGATGCTTCAACCGCAAAGTGGGCTGTGCGACGCGCTCGTGCCAGGGATAAATCAAAAGGTACTGGAGCGTGCACAATATTAATAAGTTGGTTACCCAGGGGTCCAAGCGGCGCAGGCTAACGCTAGACCCCCTACTCACATAGGAGGTAAAAAAACAGGGTTTCCACGCAAAAAAGGGGGTTTCTACTTATATCACTAAAAGTAGTATTTTTCAATATTAGCCCACTAAATTAATAACTTTTCGTAATATAATTTTTAGCCTTAACTATATTATATAGTAATAAAAGTAATATTATTATATTACTTTTAAGTAGGGCTATCTAGCTATATATATAATATCTATATATCTTATATAAGTATTAATAAGCTATAGAAGATAACTATATTATTACTTTTTATATTATTAATAATATATTTCTATTTTTTTATTACCTATATTAATAGAGGTATTATTAAAAGGTTACCCTCTATAATACTATTAATATAGAAGTATACTAAACCCTCTTATAGAGCAAAATAAGATACTTAGTATACTACTACTAGTACTAATATAACTAATAAAGCTAATACTAATAATAATAGTAACTTAAGCTTATTAGCGTTAATAATATTATTATTAACTCTAAAGTTACTAATTAAATTAACACTTAAAGTAGTATTATTACTATCCTCCTTAATAAGGTTATTAATATTATTATAAATATTTAAGTTACTATTATTAATATAGTACCCTCTTATAGCTAATATCTCTTTAATATTAAGGTAGCTAAGAGGCCTTATATAGTATTTAATAATATCTAAAGTCTCTTTTAGTAGTAATATAAAGTTAAAATTAATCTACTACTTAAACTTAAGTAGCTTATATTATTATAAGTCTTTTACGTTAAATAGTATATAGTTATTAATCTTATTAATATAAATAAGCTATTATTTAAAATTTAGTTATTTTATATACCTATTAATTAGTTAGTACTTTATAGCTATATATTCTACTTATACTTCCTTCTCCTACCTCTTAGCCTCCTTTTTTAATATAGTATGTTACTACTTAACCTCCTTCTTAGTAGCCTTAGTAACCTATATCTCTTATTACTATATAATTTCTATAAATATTACACTTATTATAAATAAATGCTATAGTTTAATACCTCACTAAGTCTACTACTTATATTACTATAACTCTATCTAAGTATTTTAATTAATAATATACTCCTAACCTCTCTTATAGTATAGATTATTAATATATAACATTTTTTTATAATAATAATAATAATATAAGAATAATAATAACGCTTAACTTACTTTAATATTCTATATAAAATAAACGAATAAGGTTTAAGGTATTAAACCTTATATAAAAATACTCTATTTATTATAACCTATAACTATAATATTGATTATATAATA